TATATAAGTCTGGTTTTGCCACCATCTTATTACTATGAGATTTGGGAATGACCCCTCATAGACCCGGATTGCAATAAACGTGACTCTTTAATTCGACTTCTTGAGGCGTCCTTCTGTGATTCGCGGGGTACATTACAACAATGGCACACAGGTTCTGAAATGTAGTTGTCTTCATAGTAACGCTCCTCCGGGGCAGGCACAGCTGCTTGGTTTCCTCCAAAATAAAACTTTTCTTAAAATAAATTCTACTTTAAAATGTAAAAGCATGCTTTGGCCTTTTGCCTGTAATACTTTACTTAGTTAACTTGCATGTCCTCATTGATCTCTATGGGACAAGGGGTGATGTTTCCACTCTCAGATGGACAAGAGAAGTTGGAGGAGTCACCAAGTTGCCTGTGAATCTGGTTACTTTTTTACCAGACAAACTCAGCATTCCTTCCATCGCTAACATTTTAAAAGTTTAGTTTTCTGAATATGATACTCAGTTCTTTCAAAAAGAAGATGGATCTAAGTTTGTGCCTTAAATTTCATTATTGCAATAAGGAAAGGCAGTTCCCTTCAAGTATCTTTCCGTTTAATAGCACCCATCACAGCAGCAGGTGCTGACATCATTTCTAACGAGATGAGAGAGGACCCTGGGGGTTTTCTATCATCTAGTCCCGAGGACACGCCTCTGTCTTTTTTTCCTTGAGCTGCTGTGCAGGTACTGACCGCATGAAGCGAACTCGCCTCAGCAGGCCTGATGCCCACCAAGATCTCCCTTTGGATATGCCACTTGCGAAGCTCATTGGATCTGCTAACTCATGGCAAGTGGCACTAGATGTTAGACCTCAGTCCTTGAGTTTTGGCTTAGAAAGAATTCAGAATCAAGACTCAAATACAAGCATAAGTTTCTTTAGAAAGTCACAGAAGAGGAGAAGTGAGCCATGGAAGAAGTGAGACAGCTGGGCTGTGGACTCAGGAAACAAGCTACAGAGGCAAAAGAAGGGCCCTTGGAGCTTAGGAGAAAGATAGGCAAGAATCCACGCCTGGGGGAAGGCAAGGGGGGGGAGGTGTGGGCGTGCTCTAGAGAGCGAGCAAGCAGGCAGGCATACCTCCATGTTTGCAGGCTCCACGCCTTTCCCAATGTCAAATGCTTGGGGCCTCCTGTTATGGACTGAATTGGGCTCCCCTTCCAGTTCATGTGTTGAAGCCTAAACCCCAGTGTGACTATAACTGGAGATAGGGCCCTTGTGGAGGTCATTCGTGTTGAAGGCGGTCATAAGGCTGGGGTTGTGATCCGGTGGGTCCTGTGTCCTCATAAGAAGAGACAGTGACGTCGCCCTCTCTCTCTGCACACACAGAGGAGATGCGTGTGAGGGCACAGTGAGAGGCAGTCATCTGCACGCCAAGGAGAGAAGCTTCACCAGAAACTGACCCTGCAGAGGTCATAAGGCTGGGGTTGTGATCGGTGGGTCCTGGGTCCTCATAAGGAGAGACAGTGACGTCGCCCTCTCTCTCTGCACCCACAGAGGAGATGCGTGTGAGGGCACAGTGACAGGCAGTCATCTGCAAGCCAAGGAGAGAAGCTTCACCAGAAACTGACCCTGCAGCACCTTGATTTTGGAGTTCCAATCTCCAGAACTGTGAGGGAGTAAATGTCTGTTGCTTCAGCCACCCAGTCTGTGATATTGGACACCTCCAAAGTGCTCTCTGAGAGGGGGCTGAGTTTGCTCTAAAAAAGTATTTCCTTCAAGAGCTTAATCCTAAGAAAAGCCCTTACACTTGTACTCTTGTCTCCTTGACAACACCCATCAGCTCTGCCTGAGGTAGGCTTGTCTGCTGCTGCTGGCCATCTCCAGACACCAGGCCTCTCTCCAGATACCTCCATGCACATCAACATTATTTGAGAAGTTCTGCCAAAGAAACCCAGATTTCTGGGGGAGTCCATGTGCAGTTCTGGCTGAAACCCTGGTCTCTAAATCTCACCAAGTGTTCCAGGGATTCTAGAAGCTTCTCTGGAGACTATACTACTAGTATGTGGTAGCTGGGGCTGTCGCAACAGCTGATGACTCCAGTTGGTGTAGAACACGAGAATCATTTGGGAACATGACCTGGCTACATGGTGGACCTGAGGTCATCACAAGGGTCCTTACTAGAGGGAAGCAAGAGGTCTGAGTCAGAGGACATGTGACAACAGGGTCAGAGTGATGAAGGTCCATGTGCCAAGAAGGGGGAAGACTCTGGAAACTGGTAAAAGCAAAGAAAAAAATTCCTCCTTAAAGACTCCAGAAGGAACAAGCTCTGTTGACACCTTGATTTTCTCCCACTAGAACCATTGTGGACTTCTGACTTCCAGAACTACAAGGTAATAGATTGTGTTGTTTTGAGCCACTAAGTTTATGAAAATCTCAGCTTGACAATAAGAAACCACACGGCCCCTTTAGAGTGGAACATTTGTCTCTCACTTCTTGTTCCTGCTTCCCCCTTTGAAGAACTCCACTCCTCAATTTATAAGATCTAGTTTGTATCAATGTCATTAATTTCAATAATATATAAAAACATTGTTCCTGTATATATGTTCCTCCTCCATTTTTCTATTGTTACAGATTACATCTTTATATACTGTGTTTCTTTCAACCTTTTTATAATTACTGTGCTATGCAATATTCTTTTAAATCAGGTAGAAAACAATTATAAAAAGAACATTTATGCTGTCTTTTATTTTTACCCATATAGTTACCATCATCAAAAAAGAATGTGCTATTTCTTAGTATGCACAGGAGTTTCCTCCCATTTCAGCCTCCTATATTCTCCTCAGTATCTCTTTTGAGAGGGTCCATGAGAGAAAATTCTTGCATGTTGTTTCTTATCTCAAAATGACTCAATTTTTATTTGAAGGATACTTTTGCTGGATATAGAATTCTTCCTTGATAGTTTTTTTCCTTTCAGCTCTTTGAATATACCATTCCACTGTCTTCTGACCTCTATTGTTTTAGATGAGAAATCAGCCTTGACTTTGATTGAAGCTCCTTTGCATGTGATGAGTGGCTTATGGTACTATATTGACAACACCAATGTATACCATAGTCTTAAATGTGTTGTTTAATACGTTCTATTCTGCTTGATCCGTATTACATAGATAATGCAGAGAATGGTCATTTATTAGGTCACAGGGGTAATATTATATAAGTGGTCGATGGCAGAGTGCTTTGAAGGCAGCCTGTATGTGGGCTCTGACTTACATGTTTTTAATATACTTTCTTTGATCTGTAAATGGAAAGGAAAGCAGAACACACACACACACAAAATCAATCAACCCCAGTAAAATATTAGGACTAACTAGTGTGGTAAATTAGATTTTCAGAAATATTTAGTTTTTTCCCTTCACCTCCAAGGAGGGTGTTCCTGATCCAAGATGTCGACTTGGTCGTGCAACTTGGGGTGCTAGCTTTCATGGCACAGCAGAGGCTCAATGAGCACTTGCCCAGTCGGGCTCCCATGCCTGGGGTAACCTGCTGGTCTGGGAACTGGGCATCAGACACAGGGCACAGAGCTGCCTCCATCACGCCCGGCCTGCTTTATTACTCCAGTCAATGCATGAGATATAAATACATAGTATTGCCTGCTACTGTGACTTTATGGTTGTCTCTTATGCAGCATTGAAGATTGTTAGCAAAATAAAAAGTTGATTCTGGATATGGTATTGTGAGTCAATGAGCAAACAGGTACGTGTATTAGTCAGCTTTAGCTGCATCAACAAGCAAGTCCCTTTCTCAGTGACTTAAAACAGCTTGCTGTTCTTTATTGCTCACTCCCTGACTTCAGCTCGGCTGGGTCAGTTCTCCCACAGGCAGAGGTTGACCTTTGTGCATTTCCAGGCTGAAGACAGAGCCATGATCTGGGACACATGGTACCCATGTAGACAGTAGGGGCACAGAGAGTGCGCCCAACTAGCAAGTGTTGTTGCTAGTTTATGTTTTTGCTCAGACAGACATACTCACGCCCAAAAAGACAGAGCAGCTTGTGGGACAAGGATGTATATCTTGCAGGGGCTGGTTGGGGGTGTGGCAAAGGACATACATACTTCCTGAGCAACAAAACCATCTCCCACCCCTCCCACGCAGCTGTTCAGTTAGCAACTCTTCATGGGCAGTTTGATTACCCTACATGATGCATTCTTATACACATGGTTTGATAATAAAAACAGATTTAATATTTAGCACTGTTTTCTGGGGGCTTCCCTGGGGCCCATTTATTCTCAGACACCGTCTCTAGGGTGAGATTCATTTGCAGGAAAAAGCTGAGTGAGCAGCACGTTCACACAGGAAGGCGTGCGGGAGGGAGTGGGCGCATCACTGCGTCCATG